CCAAAGTGCTGCTCATAGGGGGTCATGTGATTGTTGGGTTTTTCTCTGTATGTATTATTGTACAATCTACTGTACAATATAAAGAAACTTGAGGCGACTGCTGTTGTGATTTGGCGCTGTGTAAATAAAACTGAATTGGACTGAAAATAGAACTCAGCTTATAATGAATAATAGTTAACAAAAATAAATCAAACCTGTATCCACAATAAGTTTCAGATTATTGCAACAATAAAATACGAGTTCATCATCTGCAAATAGATTAAAATTACCTTAAGAAGAGTCACCATAAGAAGAAATGTACATAATAGACCGAATACTGATTACTGCCAGCTTTACACATCAAAACATGTTTGAATAACACAGAAAAAATATTTGACAAAAAAAAAGCTGAAAAACGTTAAATTAAACCCTAAACATAAAAATTCCCTTACAAACACACAGATCACATCATCTTAAAAAGAATAAACCCAAAACTCTGAACATGAATTCTTGTTGATCACGTGCAGCATAAGTTACATCAGTGATCTGGATTAAAAGGCAGCCTGTGACACTGAAAACTGTCACATCAACTTCTCAGGGATCGCATAATACATCCAACACAAAGAAATGGAGACGGGGTGGAGATCAAAGACAGGTGGTGATGATCAAAAGCAGCAGTGATGACAGAGCGACTGCTAATGTGTGAACAAAGGAGAAACGCTCTCACACACTGTAACAACAAAACCTTTACAGTTCGACCGACGCGGGAGTGATCACGCTCTTCGTGCCCGGAGATCAGTCACATTTCACCGAGCAACCACAAACTCTACTTCCTGATTCTGACAGCAGGTGAGAGCGAGCACGTTATGTGTTTGAGTGCCAAAAGCAAAAGGTCAGAGGTCACATGTAATCCTGCTAACTGGGTTTAACACAGATGTAGAGCTGAGATAGAGGGTGGGAGAAAGCGTCTTCAGCCACAGAGACGTATGCTGACTGCACACTTGTTTCTATGTGTGCACGTGTGAATTGAGTCGAGGAAGTCCTTCAGTCTGAGCTCGTGTTCGTGTTTTTTCCCGGCGTGATGATCCCAGCGCTAACGGGTGAGTCAGCAGCACAGCTGCTGGGAGAGAAGTTGGGAGCACGATACTGCGATTAAAAAAAACTGAAGCATGCTTCCATTTTTAAAAACCACAAATACTCATGGTCAATTATAGCTTTCCCAGTTCAGCTTCACTTATGGCTGCATCACACGGAAATATGAGGGAAAAGACAGCAGTGTTTAAATCTGCATCCCTCTGTGGTCAACCTGAGTCGCAGGATGGCCTGGAAGAAAATTTAACTTCAGCATTTACACGCACTGTGCTTGTAAATGCAGCTGCATGTTTTCACAATTTGAGCTTCAGGTTCAATATTTCATATTTTAAAACAGGTAAATGGTTAATGAAGGAAATCGCAGGCCGTTTCACAAAGTCACAAGCACAGGAAAATCTGAGCTTTTAAAGTTTTTACTGAAGAAAATATCAAAGTGAAGCACAGCCAACGACTAAGGCGAGTTTAAGGCCTCAAACTGAGTCAATACAAATACGCTGAATTTTTAAACAGTAAGAAAACCATCTGACCCCCTCAGAGAAGAATTACTAGAGGGATGGCATAGGGGATAGCTTTAATTAAATTAAAAACGGCCTTTGAGTTTGTTTGTCCAGCATCTATGATCACTCGTGACTTCAGGAGAGATCCATGTGTAGCTTGTAATTTCTGGGCTGAAAAACATATTTAATCTTTTTCGAAACTGTAACCACGTCTATTTTACACTCAGTCTAAGTGTAACAATCTAGAGACAAATCTTTTTCTCTATAACCTCTATAAACGGCGCCATTTTCACACCCGTGATGTAGAGAAACAGAAACGAGCACCGGCATCTTGGATCTCTGATCATTCAATGGAGAAAGCTCAACAAATGCATTTTGGGTAAATTTTGAAGAGTCTTATCGCCATGTGACCGGTGGCTCCTCAGAACAAGTTAAAAGGTCTCCTTTTACCTAGAATTTGGCATCAGGCTCATCTTCTAGCTGTGATTCCTTTCATAAAAGTCACTTTCTAATATATTGATTTTAAGTTTCGAGTTGATCTGCTGCTTTTTTCAACAGAACGTAATGA